ACCTACTGTAAACCTAAAAATGTACATCCAGTTTTGAAAGAGATGGATCCTAGCTCAGAAAATTGTTATTGAATATGTCAACGCTAATGTAATGAAATGCTTCTTCTAAGTAAGTGGTTTTTAAAGAAATAAAAATAAATAAAGTGGTCTATCTGTACAATGGAGTACTAGTCATCCACATGAAGGAAGGAAGAACTGGTAAGCTCTACAACACAGATAAACACCTACAGTAGGTCCTAGAAGCCAGTGTCAGAAAGGACACAAAAGACATGAATGTGGGAAAAGAACTTGTATGGAGGACGTGCAGGCAAACGGGCGGCAGGAGATGAGAGCAGGTGAGGGTGAAAGCAATCGGAATGCTCTATGTATGCGTAGGAAACTGTCAAAAGAACAATTTAATAAAAGAATTTTTTATTATTTTATGTATATGAGTGTATTGCCTACACATAGGCAGGTGTACCTGTGTCAAATCCCCTGGAACTGGAGTTACAGACAATTGTTGGCCACGATGTGGGTGCTGGGAATGGAGCCCAGGTCCTCTGGAGGAACAGGAAGTGTTCTTAACCACCACTGAGCCATCATCCAGCCCCATAAAAGAATTTTTTTTAAAGAAAAAATATATGATTCCATTTATAGGAGATTTCTGTAAGAGGAAAATTCATGAAAACATAAAGTAGAAGAGAAGTTGCTTAGGGTCAGACACACAGGTACAGAGCCAGAAGACAGCCAAAGGTACAGCGTCTCCGTGAAGTGAAACATTATAAACTCAATCGCAGTGGAAGGTGCAGCATATCTCTGAATATACCAAAAAGATCACTGAATTTTACATTTTCAATAAATTGTACGGGATATAAATAAAACCTCACTACACAAGGAAGATACACACATTTAATCACCTTATTATGACAAGAACTGAGCTGCAGAATCCAAAGGGAAATGACGTTTTCTTTGAGGGAGGAACTGTGAGTGCGAGTGTGCGCACATGTACATGTGTGCCCTTATGCATGTGCAAAGGCGAAAACGAGGACACTGGTGTCTTCCATCACTCTCTGACACATTCCCTTGAAACAGTCTCTCACTGAACGCAGGCCTCACCATCTTCAGCTGAGCTAGCCGGTCATCAAGCCCCAGGGATCCTCCTGGCTCTACACGGCCACCAGCACCCAGGTGCTGCAAAGCCACACTAGAATTCTGTGGGTGCTAGGGATCCCAGTTCTGGTCCTCACAATTGTGCAGCAGACATTCTTATCCACTGAGGCATAGCCCCAGCCTAGGAAGTGATCCTTGACTGCTACTTCACACCCAAACATCAACTCCATATTGACTGGGGATTTAGATGTAGGAAAGTGGTTAAAGAGCAAAGCTTCTATAAGATAATAGAAAAAGGTATCTTCATAGCATAAATAGGACTCAATAGGCTATTTCCATGTAGAAAATATCTCTTACAAACTTACGATTTATTTATTGCCATAGCACAGGCTTTAAAGCACTATTTAGTAAGGAAGGGTCCACAGAGGAAGGAGGGAGGAAGGAAGGGAGGCTGCAGTGTAAGAGATGCCTGTAAATCCCAGCACTTGGGAGGCTGAGGCAGGACTTCCATGAGTTTGAGGCTCTCTTCCCTCCCCAAAAAGGGCAGGAAGGAATGCTGGAGAAATGTTTCAATGGTTAAGAGCACTGGCTGTTCTTCCAGGGCACCCAGGTTCAGTTCCCAGCACCCCCATGGTGGTTAACAACCATCTGTAAATCCAGTTCCAGGGGATTCAATGCCCTTTACAGATACTCAACCCGTGGTACACTTACATACATGCAGCAAAACATTCACACACATAAAATAAAAAAGTAAGTAAATCTTAAAAAAATAAAAACAAGCACAGAGCACCTAAAATGTAAAGAGTAACCAAAGCAAATGCTGATGAGGGTCTGGAAGGAGCAGTGCAACGAGGAGTCAAGACTTACTTCAAGAGTTCGTAGTTCTTCTCGTTCAATCTCACAGCATTCTCTCGCCAAAACTTCTCAGACTTGTGTACAGGACTCCATTCCAACCTTCCAGATTTAAGCTCTGAACTGTATTCATCAAATGAGCTATAAAAATTTTAAAGAATTCCCAGTTTATAAGACTCTGAGAGCACTCCAAAATTAAGTAATCAAAATCTTTACCGATAATTTGATTACACAGACGACCCTCTACTAGGTTTGTGTTCATCAGGAGACACTTAGAGAGCAATGGATGAAACAGAATGAGTATGTGACCAAAAAATATCATTTTTGAAATATTAAATTCCTATGTAAAATAAGAGGAAAAAAACCAACAATTTAAGTAGGCACTTCTATCCTCTACTAAGGAGCAACTTTGCCCAAACAGAATGCCTGGCATGAAATATTAAAATGATTACTTGCTGTCAAAATCCTTACCCCCAATAAATGCATAAATGTGTACCAGAGGAAAAAAACTGATGATTTCTACCATGATAGCTGAAAAACATGTGATCACCAGGAATATTAATAAGTAAAAGCAAAGACCCTTAAAATAGATTACTCTAATATTCTATATTATATTATATTCCCTGATAATATAAGACAAAAATCATGAATATCAGCATATTGTATAATGTGACTACCAATAACATAGATGTTATTTATTTGTTGACATAATCCCTTTCAGAATTAAAAGCAAAAAAAAAATCTGTCTATGTAAGAAATTGAAGTGCATTATAATTCTAAAAGCATTAACTATATGTACAGTAACTTGGTTATACAAAGATCTACAATATTAAAATATTAAATGGGGTTAGTCGCTGTGATATGACTCTTAATTGTCAACTTGATGAAATCTAGAATCACCTTGGAGACAGGCCTTTGGGCATGACTGGGGGTGGGGGAATTACTGTATCTGGGTTAATTGAGGTGTGTTATGATTTGCCTGTGAAATGTCCCACACAGGCTTACATGTTTGAACACTTGGTCCCCAGCTGGTGGCGCTGTTTGGGAAGACTATGGAACCTTTAGGAGGTATAGTCTTGCTGGAGGAAGTAGATCACTGGGGGTAGGACTTGAAGTTTGATAGCCTGGCTCCACTTCCTGTTCACTTTCTGCTTCCAGATGCAGATGCTATGTGACAGCCAGCCTCCTGTTCCCGCCACCATGCCTCCCCCGCCTGCTGCCATGCCTTCTATACCATGATGCACTGTATCCCTGTAGAACCTTAAGCCAAAATAAACTCTTTGTCCTTTAAGTTGTTTTTGTCAGGGTATTTTATCACAACCATGAGATAAGTAACTAATACAACCACTAAACAGACAATATCAAGATGTGCTTGGACTCTCAAGTGAAAATTTAAGAACTATAATAATTAAAGTTGACTAACTCAATATAAGCAGGATGGACTGAGTAAGTTGACCAGAGGGTCCTGCTGGAATAGTTCTTACCTTAATATGGATCAGTTAATATAAGAAAACTAGCATTGTAAACATTCATATCCTAAACCTAACAACAAAAACAGAGATAAGTTAGCTGTATTCATCACCCCAGTAGCAGTATGTCAAGAGAATGATGGGAACTTCTTCAAATTAGAAGACAGCACACTGCTCTAACTAACTGTTGACAGTAAAGAATGATGCCTCTGCAGCCAACATTGCATATTTTAGGAAATACAATTTTCATAGTTTACAACCAAGTCAAATGTTCTTTTTATCATATGCTTTTTAAAGATTTTATTTAGCACTTTTATTTTATGTGATGATTGTTTTGACTTCATGTATGTGAGTGCACCTGATGCTGCAATGCCAGAGGAGGTCAGAAGAGAGAATCGGATGGTACAAATGGCTGCTAGCTGCCATGTGAGTGCTGGGAATCAAACCCTGGTCCCTTGGAAGAGCAGCCAGTGCTCTTAACTGCTGAGTCATCTCTCCAGCTCCCAATTCAAGTTTTCTTATAAATCTCTAATAAAAAGCTCTAGCTTCAGATATATAAACCCATGTGCCCCTATAGACGCAGATACTCAGGAGGCTGATTTGGGATCCTTTAAGCCTGGGAGTTCATGGTCAAGCAAATCTGAACAGATCCAGGATACAGCAATTGTAAAAATAATGATAACATACCTAAGGTCCTGGACACTCTCTCCAAGTTTTTCCAAAAGAAATTTGATGTCCTCGCTGATATCTTCATCATCATACTTCTGCTGCTCCAAGTTCTCCAGCTGCTTCAGGACTTTGCACTGAATCATAGCCAGAGCATATTCTTGGCGAGTTTCTCTTTCAGTCGATTTTTCTAAAAAGTTCTGGATTTGACAAAAAGGCAGTAAGAAAGTGCATGATTTGTCACGTGATGTTGCTTTATACCCTCCTAGTCTCCAATTTAACCACTTTTTAGTGGTTACTTTTATCTAAGACCTTACTTCTTTTCTAAGTGTGTTTCTTAAGAGAAGTCTACTTCTGATTGTCGATTCTGAAATGTTCCCCAAAGGCCTGTGTGGTAAAAGCTTAGCCCCCTGCAGCATCACTGAGAAGAGCTGGAACCTTTAATCTATGCAGCCTAGCTGAAGTCGTCAGATCACTGTGGATACAGCCTTTCTTCTTCCCACCCCGTACCCTCCTTCACTGAAACAGCCCTCTAGGGATCCACCTATCTCCCCCAGGTGCTGGCGTTATAGACATGTGCTCTGAGCACATGTAGGAAGGTTTGAGCTCTAGGTCCTCATGCCTACATGACAAGGACTTTACCTACTGAGCTATGTACCCAGCTCCCTTTGCTTTTCTATTTTTCAGATTACTCGTGATAACAGCAAAGGAATCCACAATGTTCTCCTTGCTGCAATTTTCCAATTACTTCATTAGACAACTTCTCTGAATGCAACACCACATCCCTCTTGGCACAACCTCTATTCCTTCCCCAACGGCAAATATCTAGAAATTTACTGTTAGAGCACTGATCGCAACCTTCTCTCTGGACAGGAAAGTATTGCCACTGCCACAGGAAAAACACAGACATGTCAACAGGACACAAGAGAAGGGTGATAGGGAAGACTGGGCCAGTTTCAAACAGAAACTCCAGTACAGGGGCAAGGACAACAGCCCCAAATGTGACTCTTCTTCTCCAACAGCAACCTATCCTGCAGAAAACACTGGCCCTGGGAGACAGACCTTCAGTCCCTCTGTATCTACAACAGGTGACACCTTAACCATAACTATGTCATGCCAGAGCCTACCACAGACCTGTGGAGTCAAAATAAATAGATCTCTCAAGTTAGTTTGGAAAGAACAAGTGGTTTAGGCAAACTGATCATTCAATCTACTTAACAGCTGTTATGCAGAGTACTTAAGAGAACATCAGGATTAAAATGCTGCCTAACAGGGGAAACCCCCCTCTAACACAAAAGTCAGTACATGCTTTAAATCTTTATTTTTAATTATGTGTATCCATGTGTGCCTGGGTGCTAGTATGTGCATGTGAGTGCAGGTGCCAGCAGAGTCCAGAAAACAGTGTTGATTCCTTTGGAACAGGAGTTACTGACAATTATGAGCCACAGATGTGGGTGCTAGGAAAGAAACTCAGGTCCTCCCAAAAGAGTACACACTCCTAACATCTCTCCAGCCCAACAAGTCAGTTTGGTGGGGGGAAAAAAAATAACTGTCGGGCTGGGGAGATGCTCCAAGGGTAAAATGCTCACCTTGGAAGCACAAGGACATGAGTCTGAATCCTCAGAACCCATGTAAAAGCAGAACATGCTAAGTGCATTATCTGTAATCCCAGTGCTCCTACAGGAGTAAACACAGGAAAACACCTGGAACCTCGCAGGCCAGCTAGCCTGGTAGTCTCGGTGGCAAACAACAGGAAACCCTGCCTCTAGCAAGGTAGAATATGAAGACCAATACCCAGTGTTGTCCTCTGACCTCCATACTCACACCATGGCATACATGTGCCAGTATACACACGCACACACCAATGCACACACAGATTAGAACAAACTGTCAAGTGAGACTGTCTGGGGACAAAGGAGACCAGTGGGGAGCACAGGGAGGAGACTGCGAGGTTCATGAGAGACCTCAAGGTGTATGCACACTTACATGAAAAGGTCCCTACAACTCAGCATCACCAATAGGGAAAATACACCAATGGCAAAAGAAAATAGAATAAAATGATAAGCATCAAATACTACAATAACCAAGAGGAAGTTTGGAAAACATGATCATCTCAAGAAAACATAAGAGAGGAGTTTTGGCTTTTGTTTTGTTTTGTTTTGAAAGAAAAACAATACGGGGGAGGGCCTGATTCCCCTGTACCCTGACCACTTTCTTCCCGCACTCAGTGCTCAGTTACCCTTCTAGACCTGGGCCCAGGCCTGCTCCTGCTCTTTCCACTCCAGATCTCCGGACAACCCTCTTAGTCCAGACCCATCCACTGCCTCCTGAGCAAACCAGCTCAATTCTCCAGCTTAGTTAGTGAGACCCCTCCACAGGCTGTCCCCATCTTCTACCCTGACAAGTATACTGTACACCACTCATCAAAGCTTCTTTTTCCAACACATGGACACTACTACAGAGTTCCACAGCTGGTCACACACAGAGAATAAGTAGCTGAGAGATGCCCAGCCGTAAGTGACACATCTTCAGTGGAACCTTCATACCTAAGGCTCATGGAACACAGAAGAACAGCAGGTAGAGAGAGTACTAATACATCCCTCAACTCTCACCAGCAAAGCTTCCTCACACCACAGAGTGTGATGCACACAGAAGACCACAACTGGCCAAGTTTGGGAGAGTAAGAGACTGCAGAGAGTGTGTCCCTGGATAGGACTCCTATGTTAAAACCAACCTATGCACAGCTCAGAGACCATGGTGGAAAGATTCTAAGAGCCAGGATTGGTGCGTGAACATAAGGAAACAGAGGCTTACAGGCCTCTGGGAAATTGTTCACATGAATTTGCAATGATGGTGACAGCATGCACAAGACCCATGCCAACTCAATTAACAAAAACCCATCACAGAACTGTGGAAATGGGCAGCAGACCCCAACCCTAGTCAAGGAACTACTGGCAACTGGTTACTGTGGGGTGAGCGAGAGCAGATCCTCTTTAAGGGAGTGGCTCTGAATAGACTGGCTGGACCCCAGTGGATGAACTTGCACTAAGGGACATCTGGGTACAAATGTTTGACCAGATAGGACTTAATATGTATAACAGAATGCATGAATCCGGTGGGGAAGTGGGTGTGGGGGCATGGATAGAGGAGGGGGTTTAAATTTGATTAAGGTCTATTATATGAAATACACAAAAACTCAACAAAAATATCTTTAAAATAAATAAATAAAACTAAGGACAAAACACCTAACCCAGGCCTAGCACAGCCTCACTCATAAAGGCACTACAAATATACACACATGCACCCACAATAGTCAGGGAGATGCCACAGGAAGACACCTCTACCTACATGTCTGCTCTTTCAAAGCTTCACAGCAATCTGAGTGCAGGCAAACATGAAGGCCTCCTGCATTAGTCAAGCCTCCAGAGGCAGCCTTTGTCCTATGGCAGCCAACAGCATGCCTGTTTTTGCCCAAGTCCTTCATAACCACATGAATACAGTTCCCATGGGGGCCTTGGGTATCTAGACTTCTGGCCCTTGACAGTGTACATCACTCAGCTGGAGTCTGAGGCATTTGGCTCTGCAGACCTGACAGCTCTCAGGAACTTTTCTGGTGACCATAGCCTTCATGTTCTTCACTGGCTCCTAACAGACTTCTTCCAGTTCTCTGATCTCTCTCATCCTCTCTTTTCTTCTTCCTCACTTGGCTGCTCTGGAACTCTTTAAGGTGTTTCTTTGGTGCCCACTGCTGGGACAGACTCAGGTGTCTGCTTCTACTGGGACTGTACTCAGAAGCCAAAGTACAAGCTGAGATACCTGCTGCTGCCCAGAGAGTCAGGAACTGAGCACCAAGAGTGATAGGCAATACTGAGATGCAGGCTCCTGTTAGCTGACTGGAAGGAACCAACAGGAAGATGACATCACCAGGAAGGATCTGAAGGCAGTCTGTGGCTGTGGCTATTCAGTTCTGCTGGGCAGGCTCAGGCATGCCAATCATACAGACACTGCCAATGGGCAGGTCGAGGCTTCTGCCTCTTCTTCAGCAGTGGAGCAGCAATTACCAACGCTGTACTGAGAAGCTGGGGTCTGGGGCTCATGAAGCAGGCACTGGTCATAAGCAAGACTATTTGGAAGTCGAGTGCTGGGGGACTGGAACCTGGGCACCAGCCACCAGAACCAGTTCTGAGGCTACCAGGACCACTTTAACTGTTAAGCCATGATTGCAAAGGCTTTGTGCTCAGAAAATAGGGTCAAACACTTGGGAATGCAAACCTAGCTGGTCAAGAGTCCAGTGCCAGGGATCCAGAGCTGAGCAGTAGCAGGTCCATCAACAGTATCAGGTGCCAAGCCTGCAGGCAGGACAGTGTTAGGCCACCATGACACCAGGCAGTGTTGGGTCCCCTTGCAGTACCTACCAGATCAACTGTCAAGCCTGGTGGGTTCTTTTTCAACTGTGACCTCTAGTCGGTTGACCATGGGCCAGGGGATGGACCTACACCCGAGTATTTGGGGAACACAAACTGGACTTCAGGAACTTTAGAAAGGGGATGGGGTGACATGAAGTTGAAAGAATATGATCAAAATGTACTGTATGAAATTCTCAAAGAACTAATAAAAATGTTCTTTTAAATCTATAATTGGCTGATTGTGTTGGCACATGCCTGTAATCCCTACACTTAGGAGGCAGAAGCAGGCAGATGAGGTCAGTCAAGATGAGGTCAATCTGGTCTATACAGTGAGTTCCAAGCCAGCTGGGGATACAGGGAGACCCTGTCTTAAAAAAAAAAAAAAATGAACAAAGGCTCAGTGACTCATAACACAACAGCAAACACAGTCTAATGCAAGTGTAGTTGGAGTCTTGGGGGCCAGGAGAAGTGGAAAGGGTGCGGGGAGCACCAGAGACAGAAGGAGCAAACTTTATGTCAGAAAATTAAAAATAATTTTCAAAGTAGCCAGAAGAAATCATCACGATGAAGCTGATATTTTTATATACCTGTCTCCTTTACCAGACCAAGAGCATATCATCAAGAATTTTTAATTCCCGCCTTCCCCCAATTCCTGCTATTACTTCTACTTACTATTTCTTCCAGGACTACAATGATTTCCTTCGATACATTTTTGAGATCATGAGCTGCAGAGCCCTGAATCTAACTCTGAATGAGAGTCTTCCCCTTCTCTCCTTTCATGAGATGGTCCTTGT